GGTCGTCTGGTCTTCAATCATTAGTGTTCAATGCATAAAATCTATTCTTGAGTTGGTCTCTAAATTCAGATACTCAAGGTCATACTTTGGTTCTTGTGGACTTGTTCTCATTTTCTTCAACTTCAACTTGCATATGAGCAATTGAAGGTCTGTTCTGCAGAAGAACCTTGGCGTTTTTCTGACTGATGATATTGAGCTTTTCCATTGTCTCCTTCCAAAGATGTAGTTGATTCAATTCCTTTGTATTCCATCCAGCAAAGTCCACATATATAGTCACCGTTTATGTTGTTGAAAAAAGGTATTCACAATGAAGAAGTCGTTGGTCTTGCAAAATTCTATCATGTAACCTCCAACATCGTTTCTATCACCTAGACCATATTTTCCAGCTGCTGATCCTTCTTCTTTGTTTCCAACTTTCTCATTCCAATCACCAGTAATTATCAATGCATTTTGATTGCATGTTTCGTCAATTTCAGACTGCAGAAATTGACATCTGACTGTGTGGATCACAACAAATTATGGATAACACTGTGAAGAATGGAAATTCCAGAAAACTTAATTGTTCTCATGAGGAACCTGTACATAGATCAAGAGACAGTTGTTTGAACAAAACAATGGGATACAGCATGGTTTAAGTCAGGGTAGGTGTGCTTCAGAGTTGTATCCTTTCACCATACTTATTCAGTCTGTATGCTGAGCAAAAAATCTGAGAAGCTGGACTATATGAAGAAGATAGGGGCATCGGGATTGGAGGAAGACTCATTAACAACCTGCGTTATGCAGATGACACAATCTTACTTGCTGAAAGTGAAGAGGACTTGAAGCATTTACTGATGAAGATCAAGGACTACAGCCTTCAGTATGGATTACACCTCAACATAAAGAAAACAAAAATCCTCATAACCAGACAAACAAGCAATATCATGATAAATGGAGAAAAGACTGAAGTTGTTATGGATTTCATTTTTCTTGGATCCACAATCAACACCCATGGAAGCAGCAGTCAAGAAGTCAAAAGATGTATTGCATTGGACAAATCTGCTGCAAAGGACCTCTTTAAAGCGTTAAAAAGCAAAGATGTCACCTTGAAGACTAAGGTGCACCTGACCCAAACCATAGTGTTTTCTATCACCTCATATGCATGTGAAAACTGGACAATGACTAAGGAAGACTGAAGAAGAATTGATGTCTTTGAATTATGTTGTTGGCAAAGAATATTGAATATCCATGGACTGTCACAAGAATGAACAAATCCATCTTGGAAGAACAGCCAGAATGCTTCTTAAAAGCAAGGATGGTGAGGTTTCGTCTCATATACTTTGGACATGCTATCAGGAGGGTCCAGTCCCTAGAGAAGGACATCATGCTTGGTAAAGTAGAAGGTCAGCAAAAAAAGAGGAAGACCTTCAACGAGATGGACTGACACAGTGGCTGCAACAATGGGCTCAAACAAAACAATGATTGTGAGGATGGCACCAGACCGGGCAGTGTTTAGTTCTGTTGTACATAGGTTCACTATAAGTTGGAACTGACTCGAGAGCACCTAACAACAAAACCACTCATACGGAGTCCTGGTGGTGCAGTGGTTAAGAGCTTGGCTGTTAATCAAAAAGTCAGCAGCTCAAATCCACCAGCCACTCCTTGGAAACCATATTGGGCAGTTCTCCGCTGTCCTATAGGGTCGCTATGAGTTGGAATCAACTCATCAGCAAGGAGTTTTATTTGGTACCACCCAGATAACACTGTCCTGGGTAAAAGAACATTTTTCAGCCCAAAATATATTCTTATATTTTATTCCATCAATAAGAAATTAATGGTTTCCCATTTTTTGTAGATAATCCAACATTGTTCAAAATGCCAAAATTATCTCAGCCAAAATTGGCACAGGCCAGGAGTTTGAGGAAAAGTCAATTTTAACTTTCATGAAGACATACATACTGAGGAAAACTAGTTATTTACCCATGTTAGGTACTTAGAAGGGATATTATTTTAGGAGTTAGGAAAACAATGGTATGCAGTCTGTTCAGATAACTCAACTTTAGAACCATAGGTAAAATTAACTCAATGGACGGTACAATAGCATGATAGGAAAAATAGATGGATGAGAGTATTCATGCTGAGCCAAAGTTGTTGGTAAGCCTGCCCTACCAGAAGGAAGTGGAGACAGATCAAAAACAATGAGTTTTGAGATGGGATTTTGGCACACAAGAAATGAAATCAGAGAGACTTATGATTCCCCTAGTCTGTGGGGGTCTATAAAAGGAAAATGTAATTTACCTTGGTGCTCTCGACGTTCCAAGGCCCTGACATAAACAAAAATCAGATGAACCCAATAGTACAATTAATTAGAGCTGGAAATTGATTATATTTGACTAAGATTTTACTAATGGAGGGAAGGGGACCATTACTTAAGATAAAGAGCACTGGGGACCAATATCACTCCAACCTTTCGGAGCAGTGCTGTGGGGAAGACTAAGTGGAAAAGGGCACAAGATTACTCTCTTCTGAGATGAAAATTGTCTGTAACTTAATAGGATTTATGGTCACCAGAGTGTATGTATTTTTAAAAAGTCATTGTTTACACAGTAAATACCTGTGAATTTTATTTTGCTCAATTTATACCTTAATAAAGTTTAAGAGTGAGCTCTTTGAAATTAAAATGGAATTGCTTAACATTTTTAATGTGATTGAGTTACTAGAAAACAAAAATGAAAGGAATCTCTGAATAAAAAATGAAATATGAAAAAATATTTAATATTCAAACAGTATCAAGCAAAATAAAAGAAATTCAAGACAGAAAGAAGAGAAAAAATTAAGAAGGATGAAAAAACAAAAGTGGCACTGAAGAAATTCAAAGGCCATCAAATGGAAGCTAATTCTAAATTTTAAGCAAGATTAATAGTATTAATATTAATCTTTTGAATACTCAAATCACCAAAGGTTAAAACAACATTCTCAAATGGTAAATAAATAAATAATAAACATATGTATAAGAATACATAGCTACAAAATTCTCATAAGCAAAAATACATAATAGAAAACAACTAGCAGAAATTCAAAAAGACTTAACGTCATGGATTCAATTGTGTCACCTCAAAATATGTGTCAACTTGGCTAGGCCATAATTTCTAGTATTGTATGATTGTCCTCCATTTTGTGATCTGATGTAATGATCCTGTGTGGTGTAAACTTAGCCTCTATGCCTATCACTATGTTCCTATTTAGGAGTGAGCTGTCCATTATGTTAATGAGGCAGGACATAATCTACAGTATTAGGCTGTATACTGAGTCAATCTCTCTTGAGATATAAAAGAGAGAAGTGAGCAGAGTGGAGAGGGACCTCAGTCAAAGAGCCAGAAGTGGAGCCAGTCCTTTGGACGCAGGGTCCCTGCACTGAGAAGCTCCTAGAACAGGGAAGATTGATGAGTTTCCCTTGAGTCGACAGAGGGAAAAAGCTTTCCCCTGGATAAGGCACCCTGATTTTGGACTTCTAGCTTCCTAAAGTGTGAGAGAATAAATTTCTGTTTGTTAAAGCCATTCACTTGTGGTATTTCTGTTACAGCAGCACTAGATAACTAAGACACCTAAATAATTTTTTAAACATATAACATTCATCAATAGGAAGACTCAATATCATAAAGGTATCTGTTTTCCATAAATTGATCTGGAGGTCTAAGACAATTACAATATGAATCTATGTAATGTTTTAGAAGGAACTTGCTAAGTTGATTTAAAATGTATATTCAGACCAAATGCCCCCCCCCCAAAAAATAAGAAAATGATGAAGAAAAAATATTAGGGTGAAAGATTTTGAGTAGATGTTCAGATTTATTTAAAATTTCAGTAATTAAAACAGTATACTAGCACTGGAACATTGTATTTAAAATACATTTAAAAATGTATTTACTTATGTCAAAGATTAGAGAACTCAGATGAATAGTCATTATGTAATTTATAATATATGGGAAAGTACAATTACAGATTACTGGGGAAATGTTGAGTTTTTCATATTTTTTAAGAAAAAAAATCTGATTATTGCCATGCATAAAAATCAACCCAAAATGGATTGAATATATAAACAGGAAAGGTGAAACATTAAAAATTCTAGAAACAAAGTATAGCATAATCTATGTCCTTGATGTAGAGCAATGTTCCTTAAGTAAGACACAAAAAGCAGTAATCATGAAGAAAAGCCTAACACTGAATGTAGTAAAAGAAAAGAAAAATGGAAGCCATAGAAGAGGAGAAACTGCTTGCAGTACTTATAAGGGAAAGAAAATTAATACTCAGAATAGACAATTCCAAAAAATCAATATGGAAGAAAAACCCTAAAAAAAAAATTAAGAAAAACATCAATGTATTTCAAAAATTAGATAAAGTAATTGTCAATAAACACATATATGCTCAAATTTATTAATAAAAGAAATGCATATTAAGACTGTAATGCTATAACATTTTACAACCACTCAACTTGTAAATATTAAAATGTAACCTCAATCATTAACAAGGATGTAGAGCAACAAGGAACAGTTGATTTAAATGTATATTGGTACAACTATGGAAAACAGGAATCACCTTCTTAGTGTAACATCACAATGTCCAAAAATATCAATTCCTAGCTATATATCCTAAAGAAACACAGACATATAGCAGAAATATATATTGAATTATTGCTTAAACACATGAATGATATTTTTGGCTAGAATTTTATAATCGTTCTGAGTAAACTGATTTAGTGATTTCAATGTAAATATTATATGTAGCTTATTTTTATCCACAGGTAATACATTCAAAATTATTCCATTGTATTCTTAACTAGTATCTATACATAGGCTCATTTATTTTGCTAAATATTTATCAAGAAACTTGCATATACATACACAACTGGATAGAAAACCAAATAGTTTCCATTGGCAAAACAAGAAGTTGATACATGCCTTTTGCCATGGTTAATATATACCAGTCTTATAAAAGCATAAACCTTCTGGGATCTTATTTACTGACACGGATGCATCTGCGAGGAGGAGACCAGTCATACTCTGTATAAGCAATGGTGCTATGTCCATTCTGAAGGCTATAGCCAGGATTGCACTGAACACCTACAGAATGACCCTCTAAATGATGTCTTCTTGAATAATGAGAATATCCATTCTCCACATGATACAAATAGCATCTTTCTAAGGATCATAAAAATAACAAATGAAAAAGTAAAAATAAATGAAAAATATGAATTTGGTCAAAATAGTGAACTAAAAATTATCTTTACAATTTTTAAATAGAATGTGTAGGAACCTAAAAAATAATGTATAAATTAAAGGACAAAGGGTCATGCTACTACCAAATGCTGTTAAAAAAAAATCAATATTCAACCCTATTTATCTTAAGTTTTTATAGTTAAAATATGTACAAGTGTAGCTTAGAGACATTTTTATAAAGTGCCTGTCTTTATTTCTCATTGGATTTGCATGAATAGCTACTTAAAAAGAACAGACCTATTCTGATCTCTTTTTGCTATCACCACTCTTCCTAACGCCCTGGTTTATTCCTACAAGAAGCAATCATAACCACTACTGTGCTCTCTTCTTGCCCCTCACTGAAAGATTCATACGTATATAATTTTAAAGAGGTTTACTTACTGAGGCATGGGACATCTGGTGACCATCCTTCTCTTGTGCATTTTATGTAACCCCCAGAGTTTTGTGAAGGAGTCACAAAACCCCTATTACAGTAGTAGTAGTAATATTTTCCTATGTCTACTGGAAAGTTTGATCTATAATAATCTTCTTGGTGTAGATATCCATTTTTTATTTCTGGAAAATCACAAGGCTTTACTTGGAATAAAAAAAATACAAAACAGTATAAATAACATTTTATTTTAATAAACGATCAAATTAGATTTAAATTTTTCATTGATAAAGTATATTCTCTTATTACCATAATTACACTCATTCATTACATTAGGGATTCTAGAACACGACAAGTTATAGAAGTCAGATCACTGAAGTACTCCTGGAGAAAGTCTTTGCTAATAAGGATGAAATTACATTTTCTATTATATAATGTATAAATTTATATGCAGACTCTCCAAGAAGAAAATCTCACAGACTCATTTAATGTAGTCTCCTTGAGTACACATCTCCCTAACCTTGGTTGATTAAATAACCATCCTGGTTGAAGACTATTCTTTCTTGCTAATTTTACCTCTTATCTGTCTTCTCTCCTTTTTTTCTACCATCCCCATCAGAAATCAGAGCCTTGCCTTCTCTTCCCAAATCTACTCATATGGAAGGGATATAGTTTTCCTTTATTTAATGAGAATAATTAGACTAGGAGTATTTCTTCATATCCAAATAGTTAAGAACACGATAAAGTTTTGATTGTTTATTTCTAATTTTAATTCAAGAACGGGGTGTTTCTTTAATGTCCTACAAATTATCTATTTTTAATCGGGGCTCAATTCAGTTGTGTTTTATTCAGTTATTCTTACATTTAATTTGACTTATATGATTAAGTGCTATTTTGCTTTTTGAAAGTTTAACCTTCTATTTTGCCATTTTACAGGATGTTCTAAAGGTAATTTAGTACTTTTAAAACCAGACTAGAATTAATTTCTTCCGGGAAATATGATTCTCCTATTTCATAAAACTTATGTAATGTTTTTTAAAATGTTTAAAAACATGCACACACAATGCTCAGCTCTTCTTAATCATCTTTCTATCTTGAGTTCACTGACCTGGTTTCTTTTTTATTGGTTACAGAGTTTTCTAAAATAGTTTCTACAGATGTGTTATAAGGATAAAAACTTTGAATGCATGCATTTTTATTGTTAGTGAAGGAACTTGCACAAACAGACTTAAATAACATTATCAAATCCACCATCAAAAAATTATTAAAATTAGTTATCCCTGGAAATTAAAGAATAAAGCTCATTTAATCATATTCTGTTGATAAATCATGTTCAGTGAGGTATCCTAAATCTCAATGTTGGTTCAAATGGTTAACAGGCTCAGCTGGTAACCAAAACGTGAGCAGATTGTGTCAACCCAGACACACCACAAAAGAAAGTTCTGGTGTTTTACCTACAAAAGTTCAGCCATTGAAAACCCTATGAAGTACGGTTGTACGCTGACCAACACGGGATCACCATTAGTCAGCGCTGACTCCATGGCAACTGGTGTTTATGGTTTGAGTATCATTGGAGGTTTCATTTATATAACTTGGAAATACATGAGTATTGAATTTTAAGAGAAAATGACATTAATTGTAATAGTATCATAATAAAGAATTCATAAAGATTGTAAAGAAGGAGTAAAACATGATAGCGTAAGTAAAAAATCTTAAATTTTCTACCAAATAAAAACCTCTCAGAAAAAAACTATTAAAATTAATAAACAAAAAAGATAAAGATTCTACCAGTTATATTTGTTATGTTTTAAGATATTATTCTTCAATGGAAGAACTGTTTTCAAATATAGAATTAATGTTGTAGTTGTGTGCCATTGAGTCAATTCTGACTCATAGCGGCCCTGTAAGACCGTGTAGAACAGTCCCATAGGGTTGTCTAGGCTGTGGTCTTTACAGGAGCATAACGCCAGGTCTTTTTTCCAACCAAGTGGCTGGTGGGTTTGAATCGATGACATGTTGTTTAGCAGTGGAGCACTTAATATTTATGTTAATTAACATAGAAAATATTAATTACTATATTATGATAATGAAGGAGGAAAAATCAGTTACTTAAGTCATAGAGTTGATGGTTTCAAATTATGCATTTGTTTATATATGCAAAAATTGCCAATGAACTCAGAAAAATAAAATATATTGGCATTACACTAGAAATTAAGAATATATTTTAAGTTTTGCTAAATGAGAGGATAATGTTTATGGTTTTTAACAGCTTTATTAAGGTATAATTGCTATGCAATGTAATATTTAAAATGCACAAGTTGAGAGGTTTTGACAGATGAATCTGTAAAACCATCTTCAGAAAAAATCATCAAAAATCTATTACTCTTAAAAATGTCCTTGTATTACAGATAAAAAATTCCCAAAACATTTTCCAATATGAATGGCATCTCTTGTGACGTGTTTTTTAGTTAAGGCTTTATGAGCATATTCACACTTCTCAATAATCAGTGTTGAATGACTTTTCACGTTTTGGAACTCAGAAAACAGAAATATGATTCATTTTATTTTCCTTATGTTATTCTGAGATAGTTTCCCCTAAATGTGTATTTCATTACGATATCAGAATACAGATTATTCCTACCAGTTGATTCATTCAAAACTATAGATACATGAAAGTAGATATGACACAAAGCTTCATTTAAGAGGGAAACTAAATGTTAAGCTCTGTTTTTAACTTACCTTGTCCCTCAGCACAGGACACCCACAAGGTGACAAGGATATTGATTAGAAACAGCATGTTAGATGTTCCCAATGATATATAAATACCCATATACCAGTTGTGTTGTTTTGGGTTTGAAATCAGCTTCATTAACAGTTATCAAGTGTGACTCTAAATTTAAGTACACTACACTTTAGCTAAGTAAATTGATGTCACTAAGTAAATATCAAAGTTCAATGAATTTTGCAAACTCTCTAGATAATTCTTAACAGTGGTTTCACAATTATTTCTTTAATTCATCATCTGTTATGCATGTGTACAACTTTCTGGAATGAATTGGCTCCATAACTCTAACTTATTTAAATAAAACATTTCTTGAAAATAGGTCAACATATTCATCAGTCAGCTCTCACAATCCAAGCCATGTCACTAGAACTTTCTTCTGTCCTGTACTTCCTTTCACCCAACTGCATTACTTAGGGGTCTCTGAGAATCAACCAGGGTATTTAGACCCTAGTCATCCATCTGAATTTTCATGGGGTTATGGAAGCAAACTTATTATTATTTTTTTTTTTAATATCATCTCATTTGTGTGACTGATGATACAGAATCCTGGGGAAATAAATCATTATTATGTGACTAGAAAAAAGAAGTTCCTGTCTGATTTTTTTTCTTTTTAACTCACAGTTGATCACACTGGCTAATGCAAGTGTTCTAGCACATTCTTAATATTAAAACAATCTTTAACTAAAGTGCCTGAGGCACCTTTTTTATATGGCACAATATATTCTGAACACATACAATGATTTCCCTTCTAGTGAAGCCTCACTTTCCTTTAATTGGACCGTCCTCTCACTGACTTATTAATTGCTTTTAGTCTTTATTTTCATATATATATATTTAAACTTACATATACATATATATCTTTCCAAATATATTTATCTTGTTTAAAATATCCTTTACTATAAAAATTGTTTTCAGATATTACTACTGAAAGCATAGTATTACTATGAAGATGGAGAAGACATCCAGAATAGCTTATAATCTGACTAAACTTTTTACAAATAATAATTATACACTCAACATGAAATAAAAACATCTAGCTACTTCAATGACCAAAAGCAAGAAGAAATTGGAAAGCATCCAACCTTTGAAAGAATAAAATCAACCTATGAGATCCATATTTTCCATCTTCTCAACTGAGGGCACACACAGTCCTCATGGTACATGGATGACAGAGCTGAAGCAGAAATGAGTAGTCTTGTTTTGTGTTAACTTAAAGGGCTGAGTCTGGCTAGAAAAATACGTGTCAACTGAGGAGAGAAATACAGGAGAAAAGGAAGCCCTACCAGGGAAATCCTCCAAAATCTGCACACAACCGCTCCTGAAATTATTTACTGACTCTGCAAGGAGCATTGTGAACCCCAAGCAGTTCAGTACAAAGCGACTGTAGAAGAGCTGAAAACCTTAAAATATTCAACTATTCCCAGTGTAGGGGAGAAAGAGTTTGGAGTTCAGGGCCAGAGGAGCTTACTGATTTCTCATAACTTTTTTTGAAACCCAGAATGGGATATGTCTTAGGAGTACCATGTCCCAGTAGTTGACTAAAGACAATGCACTTGGACTAAGACAAATCTGAAATAGACCCATCCAAGCAAAACTTAAAATCAAGACTTCACAGGATAATAGTGAGCCACTAGGAATAAAGCTATGAGAAGAGAGTCAGTATTTTTCAGAGGAAGATGCAAGAATGTGTAATTTCTACCATGTACTATTCACAATATCTGGTGTAGAATTAAAAACTTGTTAGACTTGTTTAACACTGTGTGGTAGTGATCAATGGAACAGAAGAGTCCAGAAATAGACCCACACATGTAAATCATTATTTTTATAAACTAATGCAATTTGATGTGGAAAAAAATAAAGTTTTTCCCAGAAATGCTGGAGCAACAACTGGGATTTGGGATGGTAAACAAAACTGAAACTTGGCCTCTTTCTTACACCAAATAAATTGATTTAAGTTGGATCATAGTCCTAAACGTGAAGTTAAAAAGGTAAAACTTCAGATGAAAGCATAGTGGAATATGCCCTGTTGGTGGTGGTAGACTAATATTTCTCTTAAGAAACCAAACAGAATGAATTATTTTAAAAAATGATATATTGGACATCAGTAATAATTTTAAATCATGTCCATCAAAATGCATAATCATAAAACAAAAAATAAAAAAGTCTTAGATTGGGAGAAGATATGTGTAATATATCAGACAAAAGACCCATATGTATCATATATAAACACCTAAAATATTACAGCAGTCAAGCAATCACCTCATAGATTCACAAATGTGTTAAGTATCATTACTCATCAGTGAAACACAACATAGAAATTCAATTAAATATACTACACACAGAATGGCTAATGTTTAAAAGTCTGGCATTTCCAACTTTTTTTTTTTTAATTTTTTTATTGTACTTTAGATGAAGGTTTACAGAACAAATAGTTTCTCATTAAACAGTCAGTACACATATTGTTTTATGACATTGGTTAACAACCCCACGACATATCAACACTCTCCCTTCTCGACCTTGGAGGACCTTTTCTTTGGTGTAAAATATATATATCCAGAGTTACACCATTTTGAAAGTTTCTACATGTACGATTTAGTGACATCGATTACATTCTTCCAGTTGTGCTGTTCTCACAATCCTTTCCCAAATTATTCCATAACCATTATCTTCAACTCACTGTCCTCTAGGCTTCCCATCAAACCTTTTGAGTTGCTGTTGTCAATTTGATCTCACATAGATAATTCTTTTTTTTTTGGTACCTTAGATTAAGATTTGCAGAACAAATAGTTTCTCATTAAACAGTTAGTACACATATTGCCCTATGACAATGGTTAACAACCCCATGACATGTCCACACTGTCCCTTCTCAACCTCGGGTTCCCTATCACCAGCTTTCCTGTCCCCTCCTGCCTTCTAGTTCTTGTCCCTGGACTGCTGTGCCTCATTAGGCCCATTTTATTTTATAGGGTTGTCCAATCCCTGGCTGAACAGGGAACCTCAGAAGTGACTTCACCACTGAGCTAAAAGACGTCTGGGGGCCATACTATCGGAGTTTCTCCAGTCTGTCAGGCCAGTAAATCTGGTCCTTTTTTGTGAGTTAGAATTCTGTTCTATATCCTTTTCCAGCTCTGTCCAGGACCCTCTATTGTGATCCCGGTCAGAGCATTCACTGGTGGTAGCCGGGCACCATCTAGCTGTGCTGGACTCAGTCTGGTGGAGGCGGTGGTAGCTGTGGTCCATTAGTCCTTTGGACTAATCTTTTTCTTGTATCTTGTTCTCTTCATTATCCCTTGCTCCCAAAGGGGCGAGACCAGTGGAGTATCTTAGATGGCTGCTCACAGGCTTTTAAGACCCCAGACGTGACTCACCAAGGTAGAATGTAGAACATTGTCTTTATAAACTGTGTTACACCAATTGAGCTAGATGTTCCCAAGACCATGGTCCCCACAGCCCTCCGCCCAGCAATTTAGTCCCTCAGGGAGTTTGAAAGTTTCTATGGAGCTTCCATGGCCTTTCCTTGTACAAGTTGTGCTGGCTTCCCCAGTAATGTGTACTGTCCTATTCTTCACCAAAGTTACCACTTATCTATTTAGTCCCCCCCCAACTCCTCCCATCCCTCGTAACCAACAGATTGTTACTTTTTGTGTGTAAACTTTTACATGAGTTTTTACAGTAGAGGTCTCATACAATATTTGTCCTTTTGTGATTGACTTATTTCACTCAGCTTAATGTCCTCCAGTTTTGTTCCTCTTACTCTCCTGTGCTGAGTTCCTTTTGTTTGTGGATTTTTTTTCATTTCTTTTATTTTTGTAGGTTTTATTTTTACTGAGATTTATGTTTTTCTTCTTTATTTTCATGAGTAGGTTTGTTAACTTTCTTTGTGGTTACCGTGAAACTTACCCTTATTTTCCTAGATTTGAACCAGTCTATTATTACTTGGTATCGCTTGACTTCCTCTCCATTAGAAGATTCTATATCTACACTGTTTATTCCCTCTTTTATCATTCTGATGCTGTTGTCATTTACAGATTAACCTCTCTGGTTCCCCTTTGTAATTCTTTTGGTTTTGCATAGTCCTTAAGAGTTCATT